CTTCTGGAGGACTATTGGTATTTGGTAGGGATATCTTATTTTGGCTTTTCATGTTATTGTTTTTTCCTCTGTTATTTTGACATGTGAATTTCTTTTGTAGTTTCTGACTCTTGTGTGATACTCGGGCCTTCAAGTTTAGTTCTGCTTCTTTTATTTTTGAGCTTTATGTGTCTTTGTGGTTTACTTTTTGGGTATGAAGAGCTGGTTTGTCTTAGCTTCTGGTTCTCTCTTTTGATTTTATATTGTCGAGGCCGGATTGTTTTTGTCTTCAGGAGTTCCGCGGTGGCCCAACTCCAATGTGGATCAGAAGTTTTCAGACTTTCTCCTTAGGTCTGGAATCTTCTAAGAATGCTTTTGGCCTCAGGAACTTGGGTGGCACTGACCTGAGACCCTCGCCATGGCCGCACCACGCAGGGATGCAAAGGCAGATGGGGAGGGAAGAAGCCCCAAGATTTCCCAGGGAGTGGATTGAGTAGCTGGGTTGTACTGGATGCAAAGGATCAGGGAGAGTAAAGGTAAGCCTCGGAGCCCCAGAAAGAGGCTGTCAGCCCCAGAAAGAGGCTGGCGGGGGTTGGAGGACCAGGGAAGTAGAGGGAGATGAGGGATGGGCCAGGACCAGAAGCGGTACTCCTGGAGCCCAAGAAAAGGACTGAGTTGGTCTGGGTGAGAAGGATCAGGAAGCAGTATTGGTTCCCCAGGTGTCTGGGGCCCCAAGACTAGGAATGGCGCAGGGCCCAAACTAGGAGTATAGAACGGCGAGGGGTGATGGAAGGGTGAATGAGGCTTAGGGAGTCCGGTGCGAGAGCTGCGCTATATACTTACCCCAAGAGGCCTGAGGATAGTAGTGCAGGCTAGGAGAGTTAGCCGGTGGTGCAGGCCCAGGGAAGCAGAGAGAGGTGAGGGCGGGGCCAGGACCAGAAGTGGTGCTCCTGGAGCCCAAGAAAGGGTAAGGAAGGGTAAGGAAGCAGTATTGGTTCCCCAGGTGTCTGGGGCCCCGAGACTAGGAATGGCACAGGGC